GCGCGGCCAGCCCCGCTCCGCTCCGCCCCGCCTCGCCTCCCCGCGGGCCGCTGCGGCCGCCGCTTCACCTTTCTCTTCGGCATGGCGCAGCGCACGGCGGCTCCGAGCCGGCACCCCGCGGAGCTACTGCTGCTGCTGCTGCCGCCTCACGGCGCGGCGCTGCGGCTGCCTACGAGCGGAGCGCGCGGCGCTGGGAAACCGCCCCCCCGCCGCCCCATCCCAGCAGCGCCAGCGGCGCCGCGACAGGATCCAGCCGGATTGGAGGAGGGGGGTGGGGAGGGGGCGACGGCCCGCGCGGGGGGGAGGGGCAGGGTTGCTCGGCAGCAACGGCACCGCCCCCCGCGGCCTTAGCCCCGCCCCTCGGGGGGGCCGTTACACGGAGCGAGCGCTTCGCCCAACCGCCGCCCTCCTCCTCCAACCCTCCGCCCACTCTTGATTGGCCAGCCCGCGGCACGTGGGACGGCAGCTACGGCGCGGGGGGAGGAGGGCGGCGCGCGCATGCGCAGTCTCGCGGCGGGCGGGCATGGCGGAGAGCGGCGCGTGGCTGCTGGTGCTGAGCGCCGTGTTCCTGTGCAGCGCGCTCAAGATCCTGCTGCCCTCCTGCTCCGCCGTCGTGAGTGACGTCACCGCCACGCCCCCTCCCCCCCCCCGCCCCAGGCGGCCGTTAGGGCGGTTGGAGTTGGGGAGGGGGAGGGCTGGCGAGTGTCCCGCGCCGTCGTGAGGGCTGCGTAGAGAGAAAGGCGCCGAGTGCTGGGGGCGGCGGCARCGCCGCGAGGGAGCCTTGGCGTCTGCGAGTTTGCGTGTGTCCTCCCTTGTAAATACACATGTACACACAGTCATAGCACGTGTATCTAATGAGGTAAAACAGGAGATGACACTGTACAGAGGGGGAAAAATATATATTCTTTTATTAAAGCAGAATTCGGAAAGCTGCACAGGAATTAGTACATCTTCAGGCTATTAAAAGTTTAAAGAAAATAAACATCAGAGACATTCTCAATGTTCTTTCACATAAATAGCACTACTGGCACACAGAGCAGTGCACACTTTTTGGAATGTGGCATAAAAATCATGTATTAGAGCAATTTGATGGCAGTACTTGATGTTACAGTAAATGACTGATAAAAACATCTGCTCAGTGTTCTGCTGTGGGTCACTCCAAAGTACTGCAATGTTCTTAAGGACTCCAGTACTGGTAAAATCGTTTGTGAAAAAAATTGCATAGCTGTCTTGGGGGTCAGAGCAAAACAATGAGAAAGATGTAAAAAATAATAAGGATGAGCAAGTGAAAAGACTTATGTCTTTTATATGTTCCTTTCTAAGATAAGAGAAAATCATCTGTCTACAGCATTAATTTAACTTTGAACCTTCTTGGCTTATATCTCAGTCAAACTATGAGAATAAGAATTCTCTGACTTGCAGAACATGTGGCAGAACATATGAAATCAAGTCTCRTTGGCCCTCATGATAGGGTCTTGTTTAATAGGAGAGCTTGAGTATGTAAGCAGAAAACCATGCTTTATACATATGTCAAAAAATGAAGTTAATTTTGGTTAAATAACTGGTATYATTTCTTTCCTTTTTAGATATCCCGACTGTTACAAAAAGATGCAGAGCAAGAATCCCAAATGAGAGCTGAAATTCAGAATATGAAGCAAGAACTCTCAACCATTAGTATGATGGACGAGTTTGCCAGATATGCCCGTCTGGAAAGAAAGATAAACAAAATGACTGACAAGCTTAAGACTCATGGTAGAGTGCAATGTTTACAATGTTTACTCCCCTACATATAAGAATGTTTTTAATTTTAAATATATTTTTCCTTATCTCTTTTTTT